TTTTGTAACGAAAGACAAAATACATATTCTTTGAATGCCCACTTTTTTAATTTGAAAAAAGAATATGCTCTTTGACCCCCCCCCCTTATTCTAAGGATAGACTAAAGAATATATTCTTTGAATCTCCTTTCGTAACGTGACAAAAGAGTATGCTCTTTGAAACCCCCCCCCCCCCCGCCCTATTCATTGGAAGGCAATGGAATATATATTTTATAACCCACCCACCCCCGTTTTTAATGCTAGACAATAGAATATATTCTTTTAAATTCCCTTTTTTTAAATGAGAGTAAAGATATTATTTTAAACCGTTTTCTCTAGCGACAATGTGACAGTATCCTTTTGAGATGTGGGTTTTCTGAGAGACTTATTGCACTCATTCTAATCTGCTTGAACTCTGATGTTAAAAATATAATGTACAATTTCCCAGATAAGCCGTGGTCTGCAGACTATACTCAGGTTAAATTTCCAATAGCTTTTCAATTTAATGTGGCATTATCCGCGTGACACCGGGACAGGCAAGGATATTCCCTTCATCGGGGCCGGGCAGCAAGAAAATAGATAAAAAAAAAGTAGTAGCTTAAGGACAAAGTAGAATAAGAGATGATACACAATTAGGAAAGGATTTGCTGAAAGAATAGTCGACGTAATAAAAACTAGAAATATTGCAGGGGTAGGCCCTTAGATTATTGGAGATCACTTGTTGAAATGGGTTTAGTTTGTAATTGTTAAATTCTGTTTCGTGTTATTATAGTTAACTCATAAGTCTGAATTTGGTTTTCGTGCCAAAACATTTCTGCCCCGAGTGAGGATCGAACTCACGACCTTCAGATTATGAGACTGACGCGCTGCCTACTGCGCTACCGAGGCACACAATAGATTGAACAATCTTTTGTATTATATTGGGGATTGTAATCATATATATTGTGTTCTAATATCTTGTATGATACATAAAATGAATAGATTTTTTATGTTATGATAAATTATTTTCTAAATGCTTCACATAGGACCAGTGGAACTCTGAATTAGGGCACGGCTGCTGCTCTGACTCAGGGCCACCAAGTCATTAACTTTCTAATTCTTGTCGTGGGTCATGGTAAACGTAAGGCCGTCTGAGAGTGAATTCATTTAAAGGAAATTTTGCATTGGAATTAAAATTAATGTATATTGAATTTTATTACAGAGGGAAAATTAAATAACACTAGTTTCATATGAAGATGAACTAAGTATGGAAAAATAATGAATTTAAAGAATTAAGGTAACGTCTGTATTTGCATTTAAATGTATTTGTTTGTTTTAAATTTAATGACAGTGGTAAAAGTGAAGTAGCACTGGTTTGATTATTGAATATTTCTTGAAGATGAACTAAGTATGTTAAATTAATGAATTTACAGTATGAAGTGGTTGTACCATGAATACAGTACACACAGAGAGAGAGAGAGAGAGAGAGAGAGAGAAGGTAGACTTACATGGGAAATGGGTTTGGAATTCTGAACAAGAGATAACTTTCTGATTTGGGTAGTTCTTTTAAATGAAAAATAAAGGTTAAATTCAGAATGGATGAATTTCAGATAATTTTAAGAGGAAACACGATAAATGCAAATGCAGGAGATGTTATATAACAAGAAAATAATAATTGTACGATATGGGTGACATATTTTTAGAGAAAATACATTTTTATAATATATACATACGTGTATATATATATATATATATATATATATATATATATATATATATATATATATATATATATATATATATATTATATATATATATATATATATATATATAAGCGTGTGTTTATGAGAGAATTCCTTTGCTAGAGAGAAAATCAACTTTGTAGGTTATTTTGGACAAATATCCCAAGCTAGCTTCTGTTAAAGAATCTCAATGACCTCGCAAAATTGTAATTATTTTTTATTTCACATAAAAGCGCTAAATTGCTTCGTTTTCACATTTGATTTCACTTCATCCAGTATGTCCCATGTGGTCTAGTGGCTAGGATACCTGGCTTTCACCCAGGAGGCCCGGGTTCGATTCCCGGCATGGGAAGATGTTTTACAAAATCTCGCAGTGTGGGAATGTTGTCACTGTAGAAAAGAGAGAGAGAGAGAGAAATAAGTATGTATATTCCGTTGTCTTCATCTCAAATTATTCCTGTTTTTATTCGGTTTCACTGTGTCAGTCAAGCTGTCAGCATGTAATTCTCTTATTTGCTTCTTCTTTAATTCTCTATAATCTCAGGTCCTCTTCGACATTGTCGAATATTTATGGGACTTACGTGAGGTCAGAGCTTGAATATTCCGCCCCCTTTTTGGTGTCTGCACTTGAAAGAAAGCATATTGATAAATTGGAAAACGATTAAAGACCTGCTACAAACCTTATGACAGAGATATTTAATCTCAGTTATGAGGAAAGGCTGAGGTAGTTAGACGGACCATCACCTGAAGCTAGAAGGAAGAGGGCTTTAAAAATCCTCATGGTTTTGACAGAGTGTACAGGGAGCAATATTTTTATATGGTTGGCTCTAGAAGTTATAGTTTGCAGCTTCACAGCAAACTTTTTTCAGGATGTAAGGAAGTACTTTTTCAG